CGCCTCCGCGGCGGTTGGCGGCCGCTGGGGTGGAGACCAGACTGTTTTCGAGTTGAGGCGGGCAGAGGTTCGGTGGACCCTCGCGGACCCAGCCACGCAGCTACCCTGGTTCTGGCCGGCGACTCCCGAGCCCGAAGAACAGAACAGCCCGGGGAGCGCGCAGGTGCCTGGTCACCGCTTACCGCGGGGGCGAGCCCCAAGTCCTGTGTGAGGTCCAGCTCCGCGTTTGAGGGTCTGTCTATCCCGTAGGAAGCAGGGCGGGCGGATGGATGGTCGCCAAGGATGGAGGGAGGCTACCTGCAAAACGGGGCCAGTCACCCAGCCAACCCGAAAGGAGGAGTGGCGGTCAGTCAGTTACGGGAGAAGCCGACTCCGCAGTCGTGTGCCTTTCTCAGCGCCAGATTCCCGCCTGTAGATTTCGCGGGGGTTGCCTGTCGGTGTCCAAGGAGATGATGACGCTCAAGGAGACGTTTAGCGGCGGGTCCGGTTCGTGATCCAAGCACGCGAGGCCGGTGGTGGTGGTACTGCTGGTGCGCATGAGAGAGGCCATTACCCCCACCGGGGGGGGGACCCGGGGTCACCACCACCAGGGAGGTGGCTTTCCTGATGAATTTTGTTAAAAGTGGGTTTCGGCGCGGATACCCGTTGTGACCGTAAAAGCTGCTGTTTCTGGTTTAGTGAAAGGGACATAGACTGAGCGACCTGGTTCCCTAAAACTTTCAGCAGCTCTGCGGGGTGAAGTCCTATCGGTGAGAAGGGAGCATCCGGCTCCTGCCTGGAGGAGGTGAGCTGCGGGGACCACCCAGACGCTTTCCCATTCCCGGTACAGAGGCTGGCAGCTGGAACTCCCCATGTTTATTTTAACTTTGTTGTTGTCAAGGATACAGGACCTGGGAGCCTGCCTCATTCTTACCTACACTCCTCCAAGTCTGTGCTTTCTCTGGCTTCTTTTTTTATTTTTTTTTTAAGACTCCCCTGTTCCTCTGGGGTGTGGCCGCCCTTGTTTCAGCAAGTGAATGAACCTAACTTTGTTAGATTATTAGGTTTGTTTCCGATGGGCTTGATCAGATAGGGCTTATCACTGTATTTTGGCCGACCCCCCCTGCACGGCGTGAAGGTAGGACACCTTTAGCTCCATCTTAGGAGAAAACTGAATAACGGTAACTTACATACCGATATCCATCTATGCCCTGAAAAGGGCTGTAGGCTTTTTAACTTTAAAGTTTTTAGATTGCCTTTCAGCAGAGAATGACCACAGCTTTTTTAAATTACCGGCATCCACCAAATTCAGACCAGTCCCACAACAGTTACATGAATCTTTCTTTTCTTTGGAAACTACTTTCTTCTCTCTGCTAAATTGTGACAATGTTTGCCTGACGCTCTATCCACTGAACCAAACTGGCTAGGGCTTCATGTCCAGTTCTTTATGGTTAGTTGATTTAACCTAACAGCTTTAATAAATCATTTCTTTCTTGTAAAGTATTGACATGCTAGAATATCATTTATTAAGTCTAAGTCTCTTTAAATTGGTTTCTCAAATGTTTATTCCCATTTTGCATTTTCTATTAAGTGACTGGGCAAGATTTACAAAGTACTTGTGCAGGTTATCATTAGTACTGCCTCCCCTAAATACCTTCCATTATTCATTATACTAATAATCAGACCTTCAGACACATTTTTCTTTATGCATAGAAACAAAAGTACGTCAAAAACAATAAATTGGTCATTCTCCTAAAGCACAGAGTGCTTTTCAGAGACTACACAGTAAGGCAGTTAGTGCTGCCATGTTGGAGAGTCCGCCAATTGCGCTGTACGTGAATTCACATGATTGTGGTGTCCATTAGCGACTCTTTGCCTGTATTTCAACAGGCAACAAAGCCTGTTCCAGGTTAATGACAGGGAAAATGGAACAGATAAGAGACATCACAAAGGACAAAGCTATAGGGCTTAAGAGGACTAAATAGATAGATATAGGAGGCAAGGGTAAGAAATAAATCCAAACATACTCCTGGGTCACTTAAAGAGTGAAGATGGTGGTTTAAAAAAAGGGCTGGGGAAAAAGTGATTTCATTCCATTATTTAGGTTGGTAGAGGGACATGAAGAAAGAATAAGCTGCTTTTAATTATGTTATTTCAGGTAAAGAAGCAGGTACAGGACCTGACTTTGAGGAGGTCAGGCTTTTGATATCATAATGGTAATCATAAAAAAACTGAGAGCCATATTTTAATTTCTCTATATAGTTAGCATTAAGTCTCTGAATAATAATACTTTCTTCTTTTTAAGTTATGGATTCATAACCACAAAATTCAAATTCCCATAGTGTAGCACAAATACCCATGATTTTAAGAGGTTCCCTTGTATCAATTAAAATGGAAGATTCAAATTTTCATAAAAGTTAGTAAAGACAGTACCCAACTTAAAAAAGAAACTTATCTTTATTGTTGAAAACCTGATCGAGGTGTCCTCCATCTTATCGAAGAGGTTTGAGCGCTTTGGTGAGAAGGTCGCATGCAAGTGCAGGTGCTGGTGATTAGATCTGAGAGAACATCCTATAGAACCAATCACACCAAACGCACTGTTTCTGAGCAGCACAACTTTCATTTCGGGATTCAGCAACACAGTAACCGAGGTCTCTTTTCCTACCTCTTGGCCACAGATGGCTCCAGGGGTTTGGGCTGGGAATTACACAAGAGGGAGCCAGGGTTAAGGCACTGGACGGCCAGTTAGTGCCTGACGGGGTAGCCGTGGCGACTAGGTCTCAGGTTCACTCTCCTTTAATCAGAGATTAAAGAGACCCACAGCTCCCTTTCCATTCAAGCACCAACTGCCTTCTAGCGGGTGGTGCGTGGGAAGGAAAAGGGCATTTCCTTCTGCTGTGAGCAAACTGCTCTTTTATGATTTTTACTATTAACCCCGGGAAAATAGACAAAGGTTTCAAGGCTCCTTCTTAAAATACTTCTCCATGTACTTTTTTTCTTTCCAAATGGACAGACGTTGTACCCAGATACTAATCAGCTTGGGGGCACCAGTTACTTACCAACCAACCAACTTGGGCCGGCATGTGAGGGGAGACTCCTTGGTGCTGTTTGTCACTGTCGGCCTTCCCATGGGAGCCTTTGGCGGGAATTTCTGGGGGGAGACATACTCTAAGCAGCAACATTTAGGAAGAGGAATTCCCATAGCCTATGGGCCAGCAAGATCTAGAAACTGGTCCCAAGTAGCCACTGGCTTGGAACTGGGTGGGTGAAGCGGGAACTGCCCATACAGTATAGTTAGAAGTATCGATATTCCTAGAAGCTTCTTTTTTTCTTATTATTATTACTGTCTTCCCTCTGTCAAACCCAGAGCCAGCCACTTTCCCCTGGTTGCCCGGGGAGGAGGAAAAGGAACATATAGGCAGACCAGACACGGGAGAAGGTATATGAGGTGGAGACAGCAACGTCACATGGCAGAGGGAGAGCAAGGCCACCATCAGGCACGAGCCCCGTGGCCTCTGAGAGGGCGAGCCCAGAACGGCACTGAAGGGCTGTTGCTTCGGAGAAAGGTTCCCGGCATAACAGCGAGGAGGCTCCCAAACACAGTCCCAGCCCCAGCCCCAGGGCCGGCCGCCCCTTCTGTGGCACCCTAGCCCCGAGGAGCCTGGCTGCGGCGTCGATGTCCCTTGAGATGGTGCTGGTTTGGAAGCTGTGGCTGGAAATAAGTGAGGTCAGGGGGCGTGGGGCTGGCAGGCTGCTGAGGCTCTCACCTCTTGTGTGTCTGGTCTCAGCACCACTGCACGCAGTGACCCCCCCAGCAGCCCAGAGGTGCTCCTGTCGGAGGAGGGGTGGAGACCAACTTGGCGCAGGCGGCCATGTTCAGGGGAAGAGGAGAGCTGCTCCCAGTGCAGAGAAGACGGAAGTCGAATTCTTTATTGACAGAATCAATCAAACACTCATGGCAGAGCTGGCCGCAAGGACCCGACCCAGCACACTGCGACATTCACATGACACCTATTTCAATGTGACTCCTCTTGTTCCTTCAGTTCTGTACAATGATTACGGAGTGGCTCTACATGGAAACCACCTCCCCCACACCGCCCCGTCCACTCAGTTCTTAGAGACAAAGAGCTTGCTCCAAATTTATAAAAAGATAGGCTAAAAGACAAAAAAATAACCGACTCAAATAAGCTGTCAGGCCTCATCGAGAACGGCTTAATATTACTAATTCTCTTCTCTGAACATTTTACTTAAGTGCGTTATGAGAGCTACCAGTTCAGGGTTCCCACCAAGCGCATCGATTTGTTTGTAGGCTTTAGCTTCGAGCTCTTTCAGAGTATTCCGCGTGTACTCAAAAGAACCCACATTCTCAAGATAATGTACACAGTATTTTTTAATGTCTACGTTTTCGGTTCTCTGGCGCAAGATGTTCTGCACCTGCGTGCTCTCGGGCTTCAACCAAATGGCGTGAATAGTAGGGAACGAGAACTTGCCCTCCGTGAGATCTTCACAGAAGCTTTTGTTTTCACTATATTCTTTGGAGTGTAGATTCGCATAATCATCTCTAATTTGGAAAAAGAGCCCAAGGGTATCAAGTAGTGACTTTAAATCTTCTTTGTAATCAGAGAACAACTGCATGAGGCCCACCGCTAACCCAAACAGTCCGCCCGTCTTCTGCTGCACCATGGCCTTATATTCTTCTTCCGTGGGACAGGTGTAGCTATCCCGCCAATAAATATCCAGGCCTTGTCCCTGATGGAGTTCCAAGAGCTGGCGCGTGAAAAGCTTAACTGCATCGGGGTGATCCAGAGTTAAGACCTTCTCGAGGCCAAGAAAATATACATAATTGGCAGAATTGATGACAGACGGAATCCCATAGATGCTGTGCGCCACGGGAAAGCCACGTCGGAGCTTCGAGTTGTCTTCGATATCATCGATGAGCAAACTGGCGTTATGCAACATTTCCGTCACTTCAATGATAATCTAACAAAAAGACAATTGAAAAGTTCATTTTTTTCATATCTGAACTACTATATTAACAGATTATGATGTTCTCAGGTGCTTTAGTTTTTGAAAGTAGTAATTATTTAGCAACCTCAATATGAAAACAATAGATTGCATGAGCATTAAACAGAATTAAGAGCTAGGAGTATTTCTACGTGATGTCATAAATTTCTTGGGGATTAAGAATGAGGTTAGAGCCCCTGGGTAGGTAGCCTAGTTAGGGCATCGTCCCGATACAGGATCCCAGCCTGGGTGCATGGAGGCATAAAATATACAAAACAATGTTTCTCTCTCACTCTCTACCCAAAGCAAAAAAGAAAGGGAGAGGGAGGGGATTGAATTGCCTAGATACCTGCAGCTTGTCGTCTGGAACTTTTAGCCAATGATTAAACGCCTGTGAAAGTTTAGTTCTCACTTGCTTACCTGCAATTAAAGAATAAAATTTGGCAATAAAGTTAACACTTTAATTATAAAAAGCATTTCAGAAATTTACTCTAAAACAGATCAGACTTGATAAATCCAACCCCATCAATCCATTACCCATTGGAGAGCTTCCAGTGCTGGGCCCCTACTGTCAAAATTCACACTCTAAACCCCGCAACCTTAACATCAGGGCAGGCCAAAGAGGTTCTAAATCCTTCAGCAGCCCATCACTTTCATCTTAACTTGTATCAACAGTTTTGGAATGGGATGGGGGAATAGGAATTGATCTAATTCATTCCGTTTGAAAGGATGCCAGCCTAGTTAGTGGCAGTTAATTAGCACTGTCAATTTCAGAGAACACAGGCATTTTGGTTGTTGAGGACATAGGTATTTTTAATGAAATGTACGTTGCTATTGAATTACCTCCCACAATTACCTCTTAAAATTATCTAGCATTCCTTTAAATTAAAGTTTCAGAGAATAGACAACTCTGCCGCTTTCCTACCAAAAAGTAACACTGCCATGGCCTAAAGTATTCCCTTTTCTATGAGAAGGAGTATTTCAGGTCCAAGTAACTGGTTTATAAGTGAATTTTATTCTAAGAACTTACCCTTTTTATATGTCTGAATTTTTACTATCATCATTTTTCCAAAGTTAAAAAAATATCAAAACATGTACATACACATAAACATGATTAGGCAAGTGTAACCGTAGGAAGCCATGACCAGGTGGCCCATCTTTATAGGAATAATGTGGGTTATGCTTTTAAGTAACGTGATTTAGATGCATGACTATTTGGCTGTTAAAGAGACTGGTAGTGTGAGAAATGGAGTGTGCGAGTGATGGAAACATGAGCATGGAATGTAACTGAAGCTTTTTGTTGGTGCACAAATTGGCACAGCTTTCCTTAATCTAGTGGGGAAGAGGAAAGTGTGGCATCCGTAAATAATAAACCTCCAAAAAGGTACTCAAATGTTTTAAGTATTTTTAATTTTTAGGTATGTTATATACTTGCATATTTTAAGGGTCCCTCAAAAATGTCCCTTTTAATAACAAATAATCACTTTTCTCATACGCATGACCTTAAATATAAAAATCTCAAGAGCTAGCAAACCTTTTCTGAATTCTAACATTCAAATGACCACTACTATGTAAAACCAACCCTGTTTGGTGTGGGTGGCAATAGATGTTTCTCTCTCACCCTCTCCCTAAAAATCAATTAAAGAAATATTTACGAATTGAAAAGTGTGTTTTTTGTAGTGTACTCTTGAGTATGTAGGTGAAACAATAAAAAAATAAAGTAATACCTGGTAACTGAAGCAAGTACTTGTAGGGTTCTAGAAGAATTCTTTGGACTTTTTCTTGAGTCTTCTCCATTGTTGTTGGATTTCAAAGATGATCTGTTAAAAAAGAGAATCATAAATGTGATCTCATTAATTAAATTATCTTTGTCAAACTGCAAAGGAATTTGTATCTCAAGGAATTTGTAAAGGCAGACTTTATTTCATTTTAAAAGAAAATTCTAAGGGTATGAAATCTTGAGAACATTATGCTCAATGAAAGAAGCTAGTCAAAAAAGACTACATATTGTACTATTCCATTTACATGAACTATTCAAAACAGGCAAATCTATAGAGGCAGAAAGTACATTAACAATTGCCTAGGTAACGTTAAGGTAGGGGGGCTAGGAGTGACTACTAATGAGTGTGATATTTCTTTTGGGGGCCAACAAAATGTTCAAAAATTATACTGTGGTGGTGGTTGTACACCTCTGTGAGTACACTAAAACCCACCTAATTGTATATTTTACACGGGTGAACTATGATATATCAATTATTCAAGTGATTGGTCAGTGTTCACCTGGATTTTAAGGAATAAAACTTATATTAAACCTTTTATATTTACTCAGTTGTGAAAGGCTTATATTGTCAAATCAATGTTAAAACGAACCCACAGATTTAGATTCTTCTATATACAATTGATTATACAAATTAGTAAACATACTTGTTTTCTATGAATATTAAAATGTTTTATAATACTATATATAATTTAAGGGGAGACTTCCTTCCTGTATTTTCACTACAATCAGTCCATTTCAGAGATTCTGATTTTAAGACAAGACATGCATTATTAAAAATATTCCCTCCCTTTATTCTTCTTAAACTTACATTTACTTCGATATTTCCTAGCATATCACTCATGGTCTTCCTAGAATCCTCCTTCACTATTGAATCTCTACTCTCCTGCTCTGTAAAAATCTATTTTTATTTGTCCCCACATCAGGAGTTTTCTAATTGCTCTGACATCTTTGGCACATTTCAGGTTTTTCCCCGTTATCGGCTTTCTTTTGATTCTTTGGACAATGATTTTTTTGTCTTTAGGATTATGAACTTAAAGAACTGGAAAGTGCATGCCCTGGCTTGTGAGGCTCAGTTGATCTTCCTCCCCTGCATAGAAAGGTTGCAGCTTTGAATCCTCCTCAGGGCACATGCCCAGGTTGCAGACTCCATCAGCTGTAGGGGATGGGGGTGGGTGGCAACAGATGTTTCTCTCTCTCACCCTCTCACTCCCCCTCTTTCTAAAAATCAATTAAAAAAAAACATACTTAAGAATTAAAAAGTGTGTTTTCTGTACCCTACTCTTAAATATGTAGGTAAAACAATTTAAAAAAAAATTAGCACACCAGGCTGTAGCTCTATTAATTTACTTTTAGGTTGATGAATACTACAGAATGTCTATGTGAGTCCGAAACGACTCAATTTCAAAACGCAAACTGCTCTGAACTTATTCAAACAATGGATGAATGACAAATACAAAAACATATTCTCTCCTCCGTGTGACCATTGCAATAACTTCCTAGCTAGGTTCCCTGCATGAGCTAGTGATCTTTGGAAAACTCAAATCTTTCGAAGGGAAGTCGTATCTCTCTTTCCACTGGAAAAACAAACCAACCCCAAACTCCTTAACACGGTGTGTAAGGATCTGGGTCCCTGCTCCTCCGGCCCCAGTTCCCCGTATTTCAAAAGCTCCCGTTTGACAGAAGGCTTTCCAGCGTTCTCTTCTTTAGGTCTGACATGTTCTTTCCTTAGTTACCCGCAGCCAACCCCTCACCTCCCAGGTCGATCCTCCCGGACTCGGTAAAGCCCTCCCCGAGGTCCCTAACCGCACGGTCTATCTCCGATCCCCTGTCACCGTGCAGCCAGCACTCGCCGCTGCTGCCCTTCCGCACCCGCCGGTGCCTGCAAATTACCACCACCTCTCCCACTAGGCTAGGTTCACCCAGGCAGGAGCCGGACCGGTTCCTCCGCCCGGTAGGCGTTCAGCGAGTACGCGGACTGAGCGAACGAACGGAGACTGCTTTCTAACGCTTTCGGGGGTGAAATCGGGG